GCACGGATCGTTCGTGGATCAACGACGCCCACGAAAAAGACTCCGTAACCTCGGAGGCCATTCTCCAGGGTCCCGCGGCCACCTCCATCCACACCGTCCCCTCGAACCTCTCCCCCTGCGAGGCCCTGGAGACGCTCCATTTTCCACGTCCACACCATGGCGGGCAGACTCCGCGGTCGGAAGGCCGCGGGTCAGCCCTAGTCTCTCCTACATGGCAGTGGAAGCGCGGGCGAGAATCTTTCCGGGCCTCACGTGCACAAAATCGCTCCTTTACGGGGCCACCACGGGGCCGAATCGCTCAGGCTGGTCCCAGACGCCCTCCAGAGGGGTTCCCAGACCGTCCAAGAGCGTTCCCGGACGGCCTCAGTGGGCCCCGAGACGGCCCACAAGGGCCCGGAACCTTCCGGGGGGTTCTCCGATGATCCAAGAGGCCGCAAAGACGCCCCAAGAGGGCCCCGAGCGCACGCCAAAGAGGTACAAATCGTCAATTTCCGATGGGAAAACGTATATTTTCAGCATACCCGCCTTGTGTGCTCCTCAGCAGCCCAGGACACGCCAAGAGGCCTCCCAAATCGCCCCAAGAAGACGCCAGCGGCCCTTCAGAGGGCTCCAAGACGGCCCACAGGAGCGACGCCAGAGAGCCTTGAAACGGCCTCACAGAACCCCAAGACGGCCCCAAGAGAGCGAGAGGGCCCCAAGAGGCTCCCAAGACGGCCTCAGGCAGCCTCAAGAGAGCTCCAAGACGGTCCAAGGCCTCCCGGACGCCCTGTGTCGGCCCAAAATGGCACCAAAACGCCCCAAAACGCTCCCAGAGCAGCCCAAATAAGCCTCAGAATGGCCCGAACAAGACCCCCACGAGGACCACCAAGCAGGCCCAGAGACGCCCATTCAAAGAGCGATCGGTGAAGTACAAAGCTCTTCTCACCAAGGCTCCCAAGAGCGAGACGCAGCGTAGAGAGCTCTCCCAGGCACAGCTCCCAAGAGCGAGCGGTGACGTTGGGAAACCTTTCCGACCTATCACACAGGAGCACGCACGCACATCACGCAAGCACAATCGATTTCCTGGGACAGCCTGGGAACGGCCCCAGAGGCGCCCAACAAAAATTCAAGAGAAAAGGCCCCCAGGAGGCCGCAAGACGGCCCAAGAGGGCCCCAAGAGGCCCCTAGGAGGCCGCAAGACAGCCAACGAGGCCCCAACAGGCCCCCAGGAGCTCGAAAAGAAACCTCGAGAAGCCCACGAACCGTTCCCAAGGAGACGGCAGCGCCCGCTATCAGGCTTCGAAGAGGCAACCGGAAAAAAGTCACCAGAGCTTTCCGAGTGACTTTTTTCAAGGCCCCAGGTGCTTCCAAAATTGACAAGCGGCGAGACGCACACCGCAGACCCACCATAGCCGTCTGTGATGCTCCGAAGGCTGTCTAGGCGGAGGTAGAGCGGAAGGCGGACGAAGAGAAGAAAGCGGTCCAAGAGGGCCTCCGAGACGGCCCAAGACCGCTCGAAGACGCTCCGGACGAACCGCGGCAAACGAGATCATTGATTCTTCTATGGTTTCTGAAAGATTTCCACCTTCTCGCCATTTCGAGCGAAGACAGGCCCAAGACGGCCATTTCGAACCCAAGACTGGTCCATGGGTTCGCCCTAGTCTCTTCTCTATGGCGGACATCAGCGCGTGCCAGAACGTCAAAACAGCGCATGTGGACCGATGCGCCCCCTGGAGGGCCATGTTTCGACACCCCTCACGAAGATCCTGGCCCCCGAGTGTCACAAATCGAGCCCTCCGCCCAAAGACGCGCCGAAGTGGCCATAAGAGGCTCCAAGGAGCGTCCACGAGGCCCCCTAGAGGCCCCAAACAAGGCCCAAGAGGCCTCCAAGAGCCTCCAACAGTCCTCCGAAGCATGCCTCGAGAGGCCAAAATCTTTCATGTTTCCATAAATTTTGAAAGAGTTTTGCTTTCTCGCTTTCTCGGTTAGCCGACGCTCCAAGACGGCCGAAGAAACCCACAATACCGCCCCAGGACGGCCCAACAGGCCTCCAAACGCGTCCCCAAATGGCCCAGGGAGCCCAAAGATGGCCCAAGAGGCGCCCAAGACGGCCGCAGAGGACCCCAAAACAGGACCAAGAGGGGGCCACAGAACGGGGAAAAACCTTGACATTCCGAGCCCTGGGCCGCATACGCCCACACAAGGCCCCAAGACCCCCCCAAGAGGCTTCAAGCGCTTCCAACAGTCCTCCGAAGCATGCCCCCAGAGGCCAAAATCCGTCATTGTTCCATGGTTTTTGAAGGAGCTCTGCCTTCTCGCCTTCTCGGCTAGCCGACGCTCCAAGACGGCCGAAGAGACCCACAAGACCGCCCCAGGACGGCCCAACAGGCCTCCAAGCGCGTCCCCAGATGGCCCAGGGAGCCCCAAGATGGCCCAAGAGGCGCCCAAGACAGCCCCAGAGGGACCCCAAGCCAGGCCTAAGAGGGGGCCAAAGAACGGGGAACAACTTGACATTCCGAGCCCTGGGCCCCCCTACGCCCACACAAGGCCCCAAGACCCCGCCAAGGAAACGCCAAGAGGTCCCCAGAGGCCGCCAAGAAGCCCAAAGCAAGCCCCGCGAGGCCCCAAGACGGCCCCCAAGATGCCCCAAAGCTGCCTCCCAGAGGGACCCCAGATGCCTCTGAGCCATTACCCAGACACAGGCACGGTTGCGGATTTCGCCGAAGGCCATGAGGCTTCCTAGATCCTCGGCGGCGGCTTTCCATGAAGGCCCTGAGGCTTCCTAGACGGCCCAAGACGGCCACCCGACTCCCGGATACCTCCTACCCGCCTCAGAAGCTTCCTGTGATACCTCCCAGACGATCCCAGACGGCCTCAGCGCTCGAAGACGCCCACGATAGCTTCCACAGGCCCGAGACAGCTCCAAGATGCTCCATCTGGGCTCGAAGCAGCGCTCCCATAGAGCTCGAACGCGGAGACATATGCCCCAATCCCTTAGGAAAGCGGCAACTTGCGCTCTCACCCTGCTCGTCGTCTTCAAAGTGTCCGACATTGCCATACAGGCACCCAAGGTCGCACGAAGACCCCTCAGGTGCTTCCCATCACGGCGTCCAAACGGCCCTGGACGGCCTCAAAACGGCTCCCAGCGCACCATGGGCTTTAATGCTTGTCTGGCGCTCCCTGCCGGATTTGGCACCAAAATTAGTCGACCTTTTTGTTGGTCTGGAGCCCTCTCCGCGGCCTCTTGGGGCCATGCCGTGCTTCGCATTTTTTGTGGTCCAGAATCGCCTCGGCCGACCCCGGAAGCACGCGCGGCCGCCCAGGGCGCGTCGGGCGGGATTCTGGGTCGGCGGCGCGGTGGCCCAGAATCGGTCCCGCCGACTCTGGGCGGGCGGCCATTATGGAGCTATCTTGGAGGCGTGTTGGTGATCTTGGGGCCCCTCAGAGGGTCCCCAGACGGCCCCAGAACGCCCCGAGAAGGTCGGACCCAACGCACCGACAAAGCCCGACCCGATCCCAAGGGAGCCCTTGAGCGCCCCAAATGGGGCGTCCAGACGCTCCTCCGTCTCCTCGCTCAGCGATGTGTGGCAGGCGAACATGACGCCATTCATCCTGACCGCCTTGCGGCAGCACCCCTTCGCCCCGCAAGTGGACGTAGTCCACGGGTCAGCCCAAGTCTCTTCTACAACGCAGCGACCTTTGCGCGCGAGAAGGCTTTTGTCTCGGAAGGCTCCCCGGGCCCTCTGGGGCGCCCTGCGATTCCCCCAGGCGTTCCGAGACGGCTCCAGGGTGTCCCAAGATGCTCCAAGGCAGCTCAGAGACGCTCAAGGGGGCGCCACGACGCCCCGAGAGGACCCCAAGCGAGCCCCAGGATGGCCCCAGAGGCTTGCAAGGCAGGCCAGGAGGCTCCCGAGACGGCCTAGCAGGACCCCCAGAAGAACCCCAAGAGGCAAAAATCGTCCCATTCCCGTCGGGAAGCGAATATTCGTCCTATGCCCGTTCTTTTTGTCTGCACAGCTCCAAGACGGCTGTACAGGCCCCCAAGATCGCGCCTAGACGCACCCAGGAGGGTCCAACAACGGCCCGAGACGGCCCCGAGACGGCTCCAGAGGCGCCCGAGACTGCCCAAGAGGCACCCACGACAGCCCCAAGTGCTCCCAATCATTGCATATACGGCTCAGAAGCCCCTCAAGAGGGCGCCCGGACGCCCCAAGAGCACCGCATGCGAGCCCCAGGATGGCCCCAGAGGCTTGCAAGGCAGGCCAGGAGGCTCCCGTGACGGCCCAGGAGGACCCCCAGGAGAGACCCTAGGGGCAAAATCGCCCCATTCCCTGCAGGAGACATATATGTGTCATGTGTTCCTTCTGTCCGTTTGCACAGTTTCGAAGACGGCTGCACAGGACCACAAGATCGCCCCAAGACGCCCCCAGACGCCCCCGACCCTCTGGGAGCCATCTCTGCGCCATTTGGGGACGTCTCGGGGCGGTGCGCTCGAAAGATCGATTCGTATCCTCGCACTGGGGCCTGTCTTAGGGAGTTCGCGGGCCCTTCTGGGGCCGTCTGGAAAGCCACTTGGCCCGTCCTGGAGACCTTTTGGGCCGTCTCGCCGCCCTCTTGCAGGCTTCTTAGGCCGCGCCCACTGGCCCCATTGTCACCGCACTACCAGAGAAAATTATCCTTCGGCCCCGGCGAAGAGCAGATAAACTTCTCACGGCTACCCTCCCCGCAGAAGATATGATGAACACAGACTGCGGCGTGAGAAACAGCTTCTGTCCACACCATGTCGTCCATACATGGGTGTGCTTACACTGACACCGTCTGCGCCACCGCGTTCCTGCCTCCAGGCCTGCTTGCTTGCATCCCTCGCCCGCCTCCACCTCCAGCGGCCACCTCCTCCATCTACGCCGTCCCTTTCCAACCACTCCTTACCCGCGAGGCCCCAGAGACGCTCCAGTTCCACGTCCACGCCATGGCGGGCAGATTCCGCGGCCGGAAGGCCGCGGGTCAGCCCTAGTCAGCTACAGCGCTGGAATCAGCGCGTGCGAGAAGGGCGAACAGTGGCAGTGCGCTTTGGCGCTGCTCAGCGACATGTTGGAAGCAAAATTGGATCTTGACATCATCAGCTACAACGCTGGAGTCAGGGCGTGCGGGAAGGGTGGGCAGTGGCAGCGGGCGTTGACGCTGATTGGGGAGATGTGTGAGGCGAAATTGATGCCAGACGTCATCATCTACAACGCTGGAATGAGCGCGTGCGCGAAGAGCGAGCAGTGGCAGCGGGCTGTGGCACTGCTCGGCGACATGTGCGAAGCGAAGTTGAAGCCAGACGTGACCGATATTGGAATGGCCTCCAGCCAGTGCCGCCGATCCGGTGGCGTTTCTGTTTCTAGCGCTTTTCGTACTTTCTCTGTTCCCCTCCTGCTCGCGTGTCTCCTGTTCACATTATGAGATTCGTTATCATGGTGCGCCTCTTGACTTGTCGTTTCGTCTTTCACCCCCCTTCGTTGTGTTTTTTTGTTATTGCTTTCTCTCTTATCATTTTGATTATGTCTTGTCTGTGCTCGTTTGTCCCACGCGTCTTGGATTCTGTATTCGTAGGAGGAGGAGGCGAGGAGGCGGAGGAGGAGGAGGATGAGGAGGAGGAGAAGAAGGATGAGGAGGAGGAGGAGAGGGAGGAGGAGGAGAAGGAGGAGGAGGGGAGGAGGAGGAGGAGAAGGAAGGAGGAGGAGGAGGAGGAGGAGGGAAGGAGGAGGAGGAGGTGGAGGAGGAGGAGGGAGGGAGGGGAGTGAGGGAGGGAGGGAGGGAGGGAGGAGGAGGAGGAGGAGGAGGAGGAGGAGGAGGAGGAGGAGGGGGAGGGGGAGGGGGAGCGGGAGGGGAGGTGGAGGGGGAGGGGTGGAGGGGGGGAGGAGGAGGAGGAGGAGGAGGAGGAGGAGGAGGAGGAGGAGGGGAGGAGGAGGGGAGGAGATCGCGGAGGAGGAGGAGGAGGAGGAGGAGGAGGAGGAGGAGGAGGAGGAGGAGGAGAAGAAGATCGCGGAGGACGAGGAGGGGGAGGAGGACGAGGAGGAGGGGAGGAGGAGGAGGAGGAGGAGGAGGAGGAGGAGGAGGAGGAGGAGGCGGAGGAGGAGGAGGAGGAGGAAGAGGGAGGAGGAGGAGAGAGAAGGAGGAGGAGGAGGAGGAGGAAGAGGACGAGGAGGGAGAGAGAAGGAGAGGAGGAGGAGGAGGAGGAGGAGGAGGAGGAGGAAGACGAGGTGGACGAGGAGGACGAGGAGGAAGAGGAGGGACGAGAAGGGGAGGAGGAGGGGGAGGAGGACGACGAGGACGAGGGAGGGGGAGGAGGAAGGAGGAGGAGGAGGGAGGAGGAGGAGGAGGAGGAGAAGGAAGAGGGGAGGAGGAGGGGAAGGAGGAGGAGAGACGAGGAGGAGGTGGAGGAGGAGGAGGAGGAGGAGGCGGAGGCGGAGGAGGAGGAGGAGGAGGAGGTGGAGGAGGAGGAGGAGGATTCCCCAAACTCGCCCCCCCTCAAAACCTGAATGGCGACAGCCCTCCCCCATCCCCCCAAATCTGAATGTCGGCAACCACCGCTCCCCCCCATCCCCCCAAACCTGAATAGGGCAGCCCCACCCCTCCACTTGAGTGGCTCGCCCCTTCAAAACCTGAATGGCGGCAGCCCCCCACTCCCCCTCCCCCTCCAAACCTGAATGGCGGCACCCTCCCCCCCCCCTCCTCCCAAACCTGAATGGCGGCAGCCCCCCCCCCTCCCCCTCCGTCCTTCGAACCTGAATGGCGCCTCCCCTTCCAAAACTGAATGGCCCTCCCCCCCCACACCTAGGTGGCGGCAGCTTCCCGCCCCCCTCCAAACTTGAGTGGCCCTCCCCTTCCTCCCTCCAAAGCTGAATGACGCCTCCCCCCCCCCTTCAAACCTGAATGGCTACCCCCCCTCCAAACCTGAATGGCGGCAGCCCCCCCGCACCCTCCAAACCTGAATGGCGGCAGCCCCCCCCCCGCCCCTCCTTCCCGGGCAGAGCCCCCCCGCCCCAAAACTCCTTCCAAACCTGCCCATACCCCTTCCCTGCAGAGCCACCCCGGCCCCCCCCAGCGCCCCCCCCCCTCCAAACCTGAATGCCCCCCCCCCCCCTCCCCTCCAAACCTAATGGCAGAAGCCCCCTCTCCAAACCTTAATGGCGGCAGGCCCCCCCCCCCCTTCCACGGCAGAGCCACCCTGGCCCCCCCCAAGTTCCCTCCAAACCTGAATGGGGGCAGCCTCCCTCCCCCCTTCCCCGGCGGCACCCCCAAACTCCCTCCAAACCTGAATGGGGGCAGCCCCCACCTCCCCCCCCTTCTCCGGCAGAGCCACCCCGGCACCCCCCAAACTCACACGCTGGATCGGCGGACTTCTAAGGCGGGGAGCACCGCGTGCAGGAGTGATGGGCGCTCAAGTGGTTTGAAATCGGCCCAGCTGATCCTGGCGCGATCCCAGCCCCCTGGAGCATTCCGAGACGGCCCAAGAGGGTGCCAGGAGAGCTCCAAGACAAGCGCTAGACCGCCCAAGAGGCCTCCAATACAGCCCCAGAGATCTCCACCATAGCTCAAGAATGCCCCCAGGGGGCCCAGGATGGCCCTGGAGGCTCAGACACGCCTCCAGACGCTTCCAAGAGGACCCCTGAAGTCAAGAACCCGAGATGTTTCTGAGGTTTTCGGGTGATTTCTATATGCTCGCTTCTTCGGGCTTCAGAACACCCAAGACGGCCCTAGAACCCCCCGAGATCCACCCAAAACGGTCCTACAGGCCCTCAAGGGGTCCCAAGACGGCGCTACAGGGATCCAAAACGGCCCAACCGACCGCCAAGATGGCTCCAAGGCGAGCCCAAGGCGGCCCAGGAACCCTCAAGAGGTCCCTTCCCTCTCCCGCATCACCACGTGCCAGAAGTGCGAGCACTGGCAAATTGCGCAAAATGGGCCAGGCTACGGACGGCCTAGCAGAGCTCCCTGCGGGCCCGTGCGGCCCAAGAGAGCCCCATGTTACGCCCACAACCGCCACACTACCACCCTGCCGCCGCAAGTACGCCCGCCAGGCTCAAAGGCGGAACAAAGACGGAAAGCACCGTTTTGGTCGAGCCTTGGTACGACCGCAGACGCCACAAGACGCCTCGAGGTGTCGACAAGGTGGTTCCAATGCGCTCCCGGATAGCTCCCGCGCAGGGCCTCCATTACGCCCCAGCAGAACACCCTACCAGCAGCAGAGGCGAAGAGGCGGGTCGAGGAGTAGGAGAAGCACGGCCAGACAGCTTGGTCACACCCCGGGGCGCAAAGATAATTGCGCTTCGCGCGTCGCGGCCTGGGCTTGAGAGGCGCCCTTCTCCAGGGCGGCGGCGCGAGGGCGCGAAGATAACCGCTGGTCGCGCATCGCGGGGCGCGATGCACGAAATTCGGTGACGGAAACCCCTAGGAAAAACAATATGCAGCCGGTACAGGGTGAGACCAAATTTGTGGCCGGCATGTAGGCGAGAGCAAGATTCTTGAATAGGTTCTGAAGAAGTCTCAGGCGAAACCGCCACCTGACCGTTCAAGACCAGGCGGTCCTAGAGCTCCCCGTCCTTCTTGCTGGACTCTTCTGTAGTTTCTCTTTGCCGTGACCAGAACCCTTGATCGAAACGCTGCAGAAGTAACACGAGTCAAATGTCGTTGGGGGTATCATGTCTTCGATATTATTCATGTTTCAGCACGCGATGGCTCCAAGGGCCTGAGACGCCGCCAAGATGACCCAAGATGGTCCAAGCCAGCGTCCGAGATGGCTCAAGGATGGCCCCAAGCCGGCCCAAGACCGCACCAGGATGGCGCCGAGGCCCTCCCCGAGCGTCCTTGGACCCCTCCCCAAAACATCACCCAGAGGCCCCATTGGACGCCCAGACGTTCACAGGAGGCGGGGGGGGATGTCCCCAAGGGAGCCAGAAGCCCCTGAGAAGGCTCCAAGATGGCCCTAGGAGCGACCGTCAGCGACCCAAGAAGAGACCAAGTGTTCCGCCGCACGCGCGCCGAGGCCATTGAGAGGTTCGTGAGCTGGCCGATCCTCAAGCCTCCGCCCTCGTTTCTCCTCCCGAATTCGCTTCTCTCCTCGCTTCTTGCTCCTCCTCGCTGCTGGCCCCCCCTTCCTCACTCCTGGCCACTCGCTCCTCCCACCCCCCTCCTCCCTCAGCGCGTAAGTATCTCTTCTGCCCTCTCTCCCCGAGCATACTCGGCCGTTGTTCGTCGTTCCTCTATCCTCAAGCCTCTCACGTGCAGCAGGTTGCGTCAGCAAGCAGACGTAGCGAGAAGCACCATGCAGCATCAAACAGCAGCAGCAGCGAACAGCAGCAGCAAGCAGGACGGCGCAAGCAGTAGCAGCGGCAGCACACAGCAAGAACAAGCAGCAGCATGCAGCATGCAGCATGCAGAGGCAACCTGCAGCAGCATGCAGCGAGCAGACCTGGTAATAGGATCAGCGCACCCTGTAGATAGAAGCAGCAACAGCAAGCAGCAGCGGCAGGCATTACCAACAGCACGCAACAGCGGCTGCAACCAGCAGCACGCAGTAGCAGTCACGCAGCACCAGCTATCACCAATCAGCAGCTGTGTGCAGCAGCGCCTCATCAAGAAGCAGCACCCAACGGCCAACACGAGCCCGTAGTTTCGATGAAGAGCAGCATGTCCACAGACAGTTTCGGCCAATGTCAAGATAACACGGGGGATGATGATGATGATGATGATGATGATGATGATGATGTTGATGATGATGATGATGATGATGATGATGTTGATGTTGATGCTGATGATGATGCTGATGCTGATGCTGATGCTGATGCTGATGCTGATGCTGATGCTGATGCCGATGATGACAATGGTGATGCTGATGTCGATGATGATGCTGATGTCGATGACGATGATGATGCTGATGATGGTTATATGAGGATGATGGCGATGATGATGGTGATGATGCTGCTGATGATGATGATGATGTGATGCTGATGCTGATGCTGATGCTGATGATGATGATGATGATGATGATGATGATGATGATGATGAGGTTGTTGGTGATGCTGATGATGATGGTGATGATGATGATGATGATGAGGAGGAGGAGGAGGAGGAGGAGGAGGATGAGGATGAGGATGAGGACGAGGATGAGGATGAGGATGAGGATGATGATGATGATGATGATGATGATGATGATGATGATGATGATGATACTGATGATGATGATGATGATGATGACGATGACGATGGCGATGATGGATGATGATGATGATGATGATGATGATGATGATGATGATGATGATGATGATGATGATGATGCT